TGAGAATTTTCTCTCACTTACCTGAATTTAATTTTAATTTTGTACATTATAGAAATCATTCCTCTGTAAGTAAGCATTGTATGATTTCTACTCCTTTCCCCATCTTATTATATAAAGTAGTTCTAGAATGAATATGAGTTAGGTGTTTAGTGGATTCCTTGTAAACAATAAGTTTAGAATATGATTTGAATGTTGATATGGAATTTAGATGGTTATAACAGTAAATTGTGGATGGGATTAGGAGATATGTATGTTTCTTGTTGTCAGAATGTCTGCTATACTCAGATGCATACTTTTTTATTTGAAAGAAATATGCATGAAATTACGTGAAATTAGAGTGGCTAAATTATTAGTGTCAGCTAAAGTACTCGACTGTTTTAGAGCCATTTAGCATATCTGTTTAGAAGGTAAGTGATTGAGTTTTGTATGATTGGCATTGGAACAGGTCTTGTTGATTGGGTGGAGAAGAGAGAAAATGAGCTAAAGACATGAAGCATTATTAAACTTTCCAATAAATACTGGTCTTAAAAACACAGTGGAAAAAGGTCAGTGTTAAAAACCTGATTCAGTGATGTGTACAGATGGATGATACTAATTAAAATAACATAAGCATAATATTAGGACAGGTTGGAAAATGTGATATATGTAAAGATCTGTGGTAGTGTCATTTTGTGAATGCCTAGACCACTGCAGCATTTCATTTATAAATTTGAAATTATATTTGGCCGAAATGTCTACTCCTGAGTATCATCTTTTCTTATAATACCTGATGTATGGATAGCTTTCTTTGTGTGTATAGAATGATATATGCTTGGTGGGCCTTGGCTTCCATAAATTCTATTTCTGAACATTATATAGATTTCCTGAACTCCTTCCCGTGTCCCCATCTTCAATATTCTGTTTCCTGAATCTTGATGCATCATTTTGAACTGTTGCACTGTGGCACTTCTTGCCCCAGATCATTCACACTGTTTTCTGCCTTACTGTGACTGGGTTGGCAATAGTTTAGATATTTTCACTGTGTCTGGTCTTGTGGAAGAAGCCTCCCAGAAATTTTACGCTACCAGGTGCTTGTCTGGATCACTGCACAGTCAGAGCCTGGAACTTGCCTACACTGGCACCCATCTACTTGGGATTCCGTCATGTCCTGCTCTTTCCTTCCCATCATCCTTCTGCCATTTTACCACACAGGTTTTATTCTTGTGGGGATTGGGGCTTGGCCAGTGGAAGGGCTGTAGGCCTGACGGATGGAGAAATAACTGGTTCTGATTCCCAAGGCCAGAGATTATCGAGGTGCCTCTGAGGGTTATCTGCTGCTCTCTGGGTAGCTGGTTTGCGATAGTAAGGATCCTTAATTAGGGATATGATAATAGTACTGTGAGGATGTTACCACAGTTACAGCATATATGTCTCTTTTTAGACCTGCACTCATTGTCTTCAAGTGTACCTTTGTTAGTGCATATACGAAAGTAAGGGACTGTCAGTATTAAATGATGCTTTACTCTAAAGTTTATTATTGCTGCAAAGTTTGTAAGAGTTGAAAGGTAAAGGAGTTATTTTAAAAGTCAGTCAATGTTTTATTTAGTTCAGTGAAACCGGTTTCAGTCCTACAAATCTCATATGAAAACCACTAATGTTTCAAAGAATACTTTTTAAAATTAGAAGTACTTTTCACCTTTTCACAACAAGTGAAAGTTGTCCAGTCATGTCCGACTCTTTGTGACTCCGTGGATTGTAGCCCACCAGGCTCCTCTCTCCATGGAATTCTCCACACAAGAATACTGGAATGGGTTGTCATGCCCTTGTCCAGGGGATTTTGCCAACCCAGGGATCACCTGGGTCTCCTGCGTTGCAGGCGGATTCTTTACCATCTGAGTTATATGTGTCCAGAAAATGAGTGGCCAGTGGATGTGTTTTGTTTGACTGCTTTCTTATGCTTACACGATATATTAAGGGGCCAGGTTAGTTAGACAGGTGTATGCTTGGTTGCAAAACCATTTTATTCTCCAGTAGTTTAACTCACTGCATACACTTTATTTTAATTGTAAGCCTCTTGTCAACAGTTGAGTTTGCAACCTTGCCTTAGAACAAGAGAGAGTGGGACATCATAGTATAATGAAGGAATAGTTTTTGGAATTAGACTAACTTGCATTCAAAACCCTACTCTGCCTCACGTGCTGTGTGTACTTGGACAAAGTAGTTAGCCAAATCTTACTTTATTTGTAAAATGGGGAAAATAATATTCTTTTTAAGGGTTAAATTTAGGAAACAATTTATATGTAGCATTTGGCACATGGTGGTAGCTACTCTGTAAATGGTGGTGATTTTTATTGTAGTAATGGGCAGAAGAACCACTAGTATCATGGTAGCTTTCTCAAAATATTAGTAGTACCTATTACTTTGATCCCCTATGCTTTCTTTCTTTATAATTCAAATCCCCAAGTTCTTTGTGGAAATACATAAATGGGTTTCTCCTTTAAAATTTACTTGATGCTTCTCTTAACAGGTACCCATTTCATCCTGATATTTCTGAGGTCATAGAACGTGGGACCAAAAAAAACATGCAAGTGTTAAAAAGTATGGTGATAAAAATGTTTCCTGATGACTTCTAGATTCTAAGGCTTAACTTTAGATTCAGTTTAGTTCAGTCTCTCAGTTGTGTCCAACTCTTTGTGACCGCATGGACTGCAGCACACCAGGCCTTCCTGTCCATCACCAACTCTCGGAGTTTACTCAGACTCATGTCCATCGAGTCCGTGATGCCATCCAACCATCTCATCCTCCTCCTGCCTTCAATCTTTCCCAGCATCAGGGTCTTTTCAAGTGAGTCAGTTCTTCGCATCAGGTGTCCAAAGTATTGGAGTTTCAGCTTCAACATCAGTCCTTCCAGTGAACATTCAGGACTGATCTCCTTTAGGATGGACTGGTTGGATCTCCTTGCAGTCCAAGGGACTCTCAAGAGTCTTCTCCAACACCACAGTTCAAAAGCATCAATCCTTTGGTGCTCAGCTTTCTTTATAGTCCAACTCTCACGTCCATACATGACCACTGGAAAAGCCATAGCCTTTAGATTAGTGGGTAATACTTACTTTGTAAACTCTGTATTGGCAAAATACAGGCTTAAAAAAGTATTAATCGTACTGGAATCAGGGAAAATATATCCTGAAGTTTGGAACATAAGTAAAATAAATAATAGAAGACTTAATTTAGAAATTATTCTTGGAACATAAAATATAGTTTCAAAAGAGTGAAAGTTTAAGCCTATAATGTTTGGTGTTTCCAACTAAATTGTTCGAATTAGTATTACAATGACTATATTGGGTTTTTATTTTAGTATTCTTTATCCTTCTTATATAATTTTTTTAAAATTTAGCATGCATATCATTGCTAAAAGAAACATTGCTTAGGAGATATGATCCCGTAGCATCCATATTGATGTTATCTCTCTGACTATCATGTGTGTGTATATATCCTCTAACTAGGCCAGTTACATAATACAGGAGGGTAGACCTGGCATATCTTATTTCAAAGAGGTGCCAAGACTTTGTCTTGACTGACCAGACAGTCTGCTTACAACCTAGTAGTTTTTCAGATGCCCTAGAAAGCAAAACAAAACAAAGTGATGCAGGGTAAGTGTCTCAAAACAAACTGGTTTACATATCTACTTGTTCTTTTCTAAAATGCTTTCAGTTATTAGACAATTATTGAAAAATAAGAAAATCTTTTTATCCCCTTCTGCATGTATTCTGTATAATACAACTTTGGATGCTGTGGACAAAGCAGAAATCCAGTTTGAAACTTCCAGTTATTTCTGGAAAAATTGTTCTGTAGTTTTGAAAACTACAGTAGAACTTGTCCAGAGGGGGGGAAAAACCAGTATCTTCATAAAAACAATAAAGTAATAAAATTATTACTTTATAAGATTGTTAAGAGAATAGATTTTCTCTAAATAAGTAAACTTACAAAATGAAATCAGGATCAGATTGGTAATAAAGGGATCCCATTTATATTAAATTTATTGAGTAAATAATTACCAGTCCTGTCTAATGAACAAAAAGTCAATCAGATAGTCAACAGTGTAACTTGTGGAACATACTGAAAGAAGATACCTTGAGTGCTTCCAATAATGAACAGAATTAGCCTGACTAGAGAAGAGGGAGAGAATAGGAGCCAGGCTTCTTTTGTAGGAGAGAGAAGCTGGATGAAACTTGTTGTATTAAGTATGTCCATCACTCAGAATCCATTGCCTAAAGAATTTGATACTGCTAACTGTGGTGGTCTCCGAGATGTAATAAACTCTGCGTTCTCTCTGATTGCTTCTCTGGCCTCTTATCCTCTCTGTTCCACGTAGATGAGGGTTCTCCCAAGTGTCCTGCTGTTTTTCTTTCTCTTTTCGCTCAGAAAGGTCTCAGACATGTTTCCCCTCATATATTATAATTTTAAAAGTTGAGAAATAATTTACATATATGGCCATCACCCATTAAAAATGTTTGGTTAGGTGGTTTTTAGAATATTACTCAATAACTTGTGCAACCATCACTGCTATCTAATTTCCAAAATATTCATCACCCAAAGAGAAGCCCTCTATGCATCAATAGTCACTGCCCATTTCCTTTCCCCTCATCCTTGAAAGTGAAAGTGGAAATGTTAGCCCTTCAGTCATGTCTGACTCTTTGCGACCCTATGGACTGTAGCCCACCAGGCTCCTCTGTCCATTGAATTCTCTAGCCAAGAATACTGGAGTGGGTTGCCATTTCTTTTTCCAGGAGAGTCTGTGCTACCCAGGGATCCAGTCTGGGTCTCCTGCATTGCAGGAGGATTCTTTACCATCTGAGCCATTGGGCAGGCAACTGCTGATTTACTTTTTGTCATCACAGAATTGCCTATTCTATTCATTTAATATCTGTGGAATCATATTATGTGGCCTTTTGTGACTGGCTTACTTTACTTAGCATAGTGTTTTCAAGGTTCATTCATATTGCAGCATGTATCAGTACTTCTTTTTTTTTTTTCAAATTAGCAAACTGTAATTGTTTTCCCAAAGATACATTTTTTTTCATACACATCCATCATACACTGTAACCAAAAAAAGCAGTGTACATGAAATAAGAGAAAATAAATTAAAAATCCATAGCATAGGTAAGGAGGCTCTAGTCTGGAGCACAGCTGAGTTTTCAGCAATATAAGGAGGCTCGAAAGTTTCTTTTATAAGAATGCCTGCTAGCAACGGTTCCAGCCAGGTGGTTGGTTGGTCTGTAAGTCAGTCTTGAGTACTTGAAACAGTTCTGTGTGTGTTTTTTGTTTTTTTTTTCCTTAGCGTTTAGAATAGCCATCATTGTCCTGCAATAGGCAGAGCTATCACGTCTAGGAAGAATGAGGGAGGGAACCACAGAGGCAGCGTGAGATCCAAATACAGCATTCAAAGGTAATTGGTCCAGTGGTGCCTGGGGAAGGAGGAAGGGAATGGCACTCCTGGGTTAGCCATCTTCCTTTGGGGGTGTGTACCAGCCATTTTTTTCGTGGATCTGCACCAAGGACTTGTAGGACTGCTGTGCTCTTGTCAGGCTGTATTGAGATTTGTTGGCTCCAAACTGCACTCGTGCTTTTCCCTTCACCAGTGTGGCACTGATCTGCATAATCACTGACTCTATTGAGTAGGCACTGCTCCAGCCCTGCTTAGTGAGAAGTTCCATGCAGATGGCACCTCCACCCAGAACATACCCTCCAGAGAGGACTGGAGACACAACCCTGACAAACGGCGGGTCAAAGGGGAAGTTATCTTTAAAAGAAAAGTTAAGTAGGATGAAGTTGGCTCCTTCTTTCTCTTTGAGGATCTGGAGATCGTTGTGCAAAGCGCTGTCCTGGTCAACTTTGAGGAGTTTGACATTCCAATCATACAGACTGTCATTCACGAGTTCGACTGCATAGTTTCCACCTTTGAAACTCTGTGATCGGTATATATCCCTGAGCTCCTTCATCAGCCGGTCAGTAGCCTGCACCGAGCCAGATACCGCACCATTTAAGTAATCTTGCCTCTGGTTCTTTTTAATTTTCTCTAGTATGGCCAAGTTTTCTTTTCCGATGCCATCATCTTCAGATTTCTTGCCCTCAGCTGGCTCTTCTTCTTTCATTTCATAGTGATCTAGGTCTTCTGTGTCCTCAGGCATCTCTTCATCTTCATCTTCTGAAGACACGTCTTCCTGTGTACACTGCTCGGCTGGCAAGGGCTGATCCAGCATCTCCACATCTGGATGCTGAGGGAGGTTATAGAGTTTACACAGGTCGGAGATGATCCTCTTCAGATGCTGCAATAGCAGAGTATTCCCTTTCTTTATGTCCACCAGCCTCTCCAAGACAGCAGCCAAGTTAGGGTCATCGGACTCCACTGACCAGATGGGGGGCACCGCAGGGTATGACTCCGTGATGTTGCAGTGGATGCGGACGGGATCCCCAGGCACCGACCCCCGTGAGGGGAGATGCGGTCCGGGCGCGGCCCCCGCCCCGGCCCCTCCGGCCCCAGCCAGCAGGAACTCGCAGCTCAGCTCGTCCAGGCAGGCGCTGGCAATGCGGAAGCGCTCGTGGCCGCGGTGGAAGATGGACTCGAGCAGCTTCAGCTCCCGCCTCAGACAGGGCCCCGGCCCCCGGCGCCGCCCCCTGGCCCCCCAGCTGCTGCCCCGGCCCAGGCTGCTGCTGCCCCTGCGGCTGCGGCTGCTGCATCCTCCGCTCCGCTCCGCTCCGGGGCTGGCGGGCCGGGAGCCTCCGGCCTCCGCTCCGGGCTCCGCCGCCGCCGCCCGTATCAGTACTTCATTCCATTTTATGACTATATATTCCATTGTGCAAATATCTAACATTCATCAGTTGTTGGACATATGGGTCTTTTTTTTTTTTTTTTACTCTTTGACTATTATAAATAATGCTGATATGAACATTTGTAAACAAACTTGTTGATGGGTTTTCAATTTTCTTAGGTATATGCCTAGGAATGAAATTTCTGGGTCTTATGGTAACTCTGTGCTTAACTTTCTGAAGAAATTTTGAAATGTACCATTTTACATTCCCACCAGTGATGAGGGAAGATTCCAGTTTTTCCACATCCTTGTCAACACTTATCACTTTCCATCTTTTTCATTATACCCTAAGTGGGTATGAAGTGGAATCTTCATGGTTTTGCTTTGTATTTCCTTAGTCACTGATGATGCTGAGTATCTCCCTATGTGCTTATAGAACATTGGGTATCTTCTTTGGAGAACTGTCTGTTCAAATCCTTTGCCTGTTTTTTTAAAATATTTGTTTGTTTGGCTGTGTCAGGTCCTAGTTCTGGCACGTGGCTCTTTGTTGCAGCTCACGGGCTTCTCTTCAGTTGTGTCTCGTGGGCTCTAGAGCGCACAGGCTCAGTAGTTCCTGTTGCCTCGGCTTAGTTGTGTGATTGCATGTAGGATCTTGGTTCTCTGAGCAGGGATAGAAGGGTTACAGTCGATGGAGTTGCACAGAGCTGGAAGTGACTGAGTGACTGGACACACACGCACACAGGGTTGGAACCCAAGTCCCCTGCATTGGAAAAGTGAAAGTTGCTCCATTGGGTCCGACTCTGTGACCCCCGTGGACTGTACAGTCCATGTAATTCTTCAGGCCAGGATACTTCCCAACCCAAGAATCAAATCCAGGTCTCCCATATTGCAGGTGAATTCTTTATTGGCTGAGCTACCAGGGAAGCCCAAGAATACTGGGGTGAGTAGCCTATCCCTTCCCCAGGGGATCTTCCAGATCCAGGAGTTGAACTGGGGACCTCCTATGTTACTGGTGGATTCTTTACCAGCTGAGCTGCCAGGGAAGAACTGCGTTGGAATGCTGATTCTTAACCACTGGACCATCAGGGGAGTTCCCCGTTTTTTTAATTGATGGTTGATTTTTAATAATTTTGGATACCAGACTCTTATCAGATATATGGTTGAAAATATATTCTCCCATTCTGCTGATCGTTGTTCTTTTTTTTTTTTTTTTTTCAGTTTCTTGATGGTGTCTCTTGAAGCATGAAAGTTTAAAATCTCAGTGAAGTCCTGTTGCTTTTTCTTTTCTTTTTGTGCTTTCAGTGTCATATCAAAGAAACCATTGACTACTCCAGTGTCACACAGAATTTTGTGTATGTTTCCTTCTGAAAATTTTATAGTATTAGCTTCAAAAGACATCAGGAAAGTGAAAAGACAACCTGTAGAATGGGAGAAACTATTTTAAAATCACAAATAAGTATACTGATAAGGACTAGTGTCCAGAATATATAGATCTATGTTGGGTCAATTTTTGTGTATGGTGGGAGTTATGAAGTCCAATCTCTTGGATAGCATGTCATTCTAGCACTATTTTTGAAAAGACTTCTTTCTACATTATCTTGGTACCCACATCAAAATAACTTGTTCATAAATGTGTAGGGTTATTTCTGTCTCCTTGATCTATAAGTCTGTCTGTGTCTGTACCACACAGTCTTACCTATTAGCTTTGTATTTAGTTTTGAAATTGAGAAGTGTGAATATTTTAATTTGTTCTTTTCCTAAAAGTTAAATACTAATTTCCAACTGCTGAATTGTTTTAGCTATTTGGGAGTACCTTGCAATTCTATAAGTTTTAGAATAAACTTGTCAATTTCTGCCAATATATAATCATCTGGGATGTTTATTGGGATTTTGTTTAATATGTAGATTAACTTGGGGGGGGAGTATTGTCATTGTAACGATTTCGAATCCATGAACTTGGGATACCTTTCTATTTATTAAGGTCATCTTTAATTTCTTACACTGGTGTTTTATAGTTTTCAATATAGTGGTCTCTCACTTCTTTTGATGTATTTATTCTTCAGTTCAGTTCAGTTGCTCAGTTGTGTCCAACTCTATGCAACCCCGTGGACTGCAGCACATGAGGTCTCCCTGTTCAATACCAGCTCCTGGACTTTAGCCAAACTCATGTCCATTGAGCCGGTGATGGCATCCAACCGTCTCATCCTCTGTTGTCCCCTTCTCCTCTTGCCTTCAATGTTTCCCAGCATCAGGTTTTTTCCAGTGAGTCAGTTCTTTGCATCAGATGGCCAAAGTATTGGAGTTTCAGCTTCAACATCAGTCCTTCCAATGAACACCCAGGACTGATCTCCTCTACTCATGATGTACTCTGCATATAAGTTAAATAAGTAGGGTGACAGTATACAGCCTTGACGTACTCCTTTTCCTATTTGGAACCAGTGTGTTGTTCCATGTCCAGTTCTAACTGTTGCTTCCTGACCTGCATACAGGTTTCTCAAGAGGCAGGTCAGGTGATATGGTATTCCTATCTTTTCCAGAATTTTCCACAGTTTATTGTGATCCACACATTCAAAGGCTTTGGCATAGTCAATAAAGCAGAAATAGATATTTTTCAGGCACTGTCTTGCCTTTTCAGTGATCCAGTGGATGTTGGCAATTTGATCTCTGGTTTCTCTGCCGTTTCTGAAACCAGCTTAAATATCTGGAAGTTCACGGTTCACGTGTTGTTGAAGCCTGGCTTGGAGAATTTTAAGCATTACTTTATTAGTGTGTGAGATGAGTGCAATTGTGAGGTAGTTTGAGCATTCTTTGGCATTTCCTTTCTTTGGGATTGGAATGAAAACTAACCTTTCCAGTCCTGTGACCACTGCTGAGTTTTCCAAATTGCTGGCATATTGAGTGCAGCATGTTCACAGCATCATCTTTTAGGATTTGAAATAGCTCAACTGGAATTCCGTCACCTCTATTAGCTTTGTTTGTGGTGATGTTTCCTAAGGCCCAGTTGACTGACTTCCCATTCCAGGATGTCTGGCTGTAGGTGAGTGATCACATCATTGTGATTCTCTGGGTCTTGAAGATCTTTTTTGTACAGTTCTTCTGTGTATTCTTGCCGCCTTTTCTTAATATCTTCTGCTTCTGTTAGGTCCATACCATTTCTGTTCTTTTGTTCAGCCCATCTTTGCATGAAATGTTCCCTTGGTATCTCTAATTTTCCATCTCTAGTCTTTCCCATTCTATTGTTTTCCTCTGTTTCTTTGCACTGATCACTGAGGAAGTCTTTCTTATCTCTCCTTGCTGTTCTTTGGAACTCTGCATTCAAATGGGAATATCTTTCCTTTTCTCCTTTGCTTTTCCCTTCTCTTCTTTTCACAGCTATTTGTAACGCCTCCTCAGACAGCCATTTTGCTCTTTTGCATTTCTTTCTTGGGGATGGTCTTGATCCCTCCCCTGTACAATGTCATGAACCTCCATCCATGGCTCATCAGGCACTCTGTCTTTCAGATCTAGTCCCTTAAATCTATTTCTCACATCCACTGTATAATTGTAAGGGATTTAATTTAGGTAATACCCAAATGTTCTAGTGGTTTTCCCTACTTTCTTCAATTTAAGCCTGAATTTGGCAATAAAGAGTTCATAATCTGAGCCACAGTTAGCTCCCAGTCTTGTTTTTGCTGACTGTATAGAGCTTCTCCATCTTTGGCTGCAAAGAATATAATCAGTCTGATTTCGGTGTTGACCATCTGGTGATGTCCATGTGTAGTCTTCTCTTGTGTTGTTGGAAGAGGGTGTTTGCTATGACCAGTGCATTCTCTTGGCAAAATTCTATTAGCCTTTGCTCTACTTCATTCTGTACTCCAAGGCCAAATTTGCCCTTTACTCCAGTTGTTTCTTGACTTCCTACTTTTGCATTCCAGTCCCCTATAATGAAAAGGACATCTCTTTTGGGTGTTGGTTCTAAAAGGTCTTGTAGGTCTTCATGAAGAAGTGAAGTGAAGTCGCTCAGTCATGTCCCACTCTTTGGGACCCCATGGACTATAGCCTCCCAAGCTCCTCCATCCATGGGATTTTCCAGGCAAGGGTACTGGAGAGGGTTGCCATTTCCTCCTCCTGGATCTTCCAGACCCAGGAATTGAACCCTGGTCTCTCACATTGCAGGCAGCCGCTTTACCCTCTAAGCCACCAGTGAAGTACAGGGAAGTAGGTCTTCGTAGAACCCTTCAAATTCAGCTGCTTCAGCATTACTGGTCAGGGCATAGACTTGGATTACTGTGGTATTGAATGATTTGCCTTGGAAATGAACAGAGATCATTCTGTCATTTTTGAGATTGCATTCAAGTACTAGATTTGGACTCTTTTGTTGACTATGATGGCTACTCCATTTCCTCTAAGAGATTCTTGTCCACAGTAGTAGATATAATGGTCTTATATTATTCATTTTTTTATGTTCCTAATAATTGATATTCAGTGAATGGTTTTTAGAACTGAAGAAATATTTATTCCTAAGTATTTTATTCTTTTTCATACTATTTTGTTAAAGAAAAAGAGAGTGATAAACCATATGCAGCAAAATAAGAACATTGGGAGAATCTGGGTAAAGAGTATGTGAGAATTCTTTGTACAGTTCTTCAACTTTTCTGAGTCTAAATTACTTCAAGATAAAAAGTTTAGAAAACACTGCACAGAAGGAAAGTATGGCAACTGGTAATGGAATTAGCTCTCATATTTGCCAATACTGTTTACTATTTGCCAATACTAGGTGGGGTAGCCAAAAAATGTGGTGCATTTCAGGATGCCAGTTAAACATCTGTCTTTTATTTTAGCTATTATTATTGTGCCAGTAATCAGATAAATTGTCATTTCTGACTCTAATTGTTAAAAAAAAAATTGGTTCTGTCTAAATAGAACAGGCTCCAAATCTTCATGGGAAAC